CACACACACACACACACACACACACACACACACACACACACACACACCACACATATACACACAAAGCTATAATTCTTTCCGGACCCACAATCTCAATAGCCAGAAGTTTGAATATAAATTCTCAGAGCAGACTGAGATGGAAAATTCTGGAAAATAGGTCTTATGATAAGAAAAAAAACCCACTAGAAAAAGGTTGTTCTTTCTCCATTGTTATAACCCTTTTCAATTGCATCAGAAAGTTCTAAAGAAAACTATGCCACAAAAATACTTGCTTGACGTCTCACATCTTCAAAGAACAAGATTAAGGAGTAGAAGTTTGAGAAGTTGGCTCTTTTTAACTGACATTTTCTATCTTAAGTACAAGTTTATGAATTTAACATACTTTATCTTTTTTCATCCATAATATTCAGCTGAATTAATTCTTTCAATGTGGAACAACCATCAATCCTTTATTTACATAATGACTATATTCAAATGACCAAGATAGGACTAGATGAATTTCCATAACCAGAATACTCTCTATTAACTTTGAGATACTACTTTCCTCTAAATCGAAATGACATGTTGACCAAAGGCACTGTTTAAATACGTGCATTGTGTCATTCTGTAGGCAATGCTCATGAGCTACTGTAGACAAGAAGAAATTCACCTGGTGGCTAACCCTTGGGCTTTTCCAAACATCTAGGTTTATTTTTAATTGATAAATCTATTGTCCAGCTTGAGGCTTGTACCTAAAAAGCCTCTTTAGCTTGGTAATCAATCAATCAAAAAAAGCATTCAACAAACATTGATTATTCAGCTCCTGTGAGCCCTTCACTATGGAAAGCACTGGGGATAGAAAGACAAAAGCCTTTGACCTCAAGTAACCTACATTCTAACTTGACAGAGTTGGAGCTGTCTTGGCTGAGACAATGGGGTAGGGCCTTGTGAAGACTTTAAGGGCAGGGGAATTAGTGGAGGGATTGAGTATCAGGCCTAGGACTAGATAGTACGTCAATGGCTGAATAGTCTAACATTTATAATCATTTTACAGATAGGGAAACTGAGGCCTGCTAAGGTGAAGTGATTTATACCCAAGGTCACACAGAGAGTATGTATTTGAACCCAGGCCAAAGAACGCGATATTGATAAAATCATTGATCTTTTTAATGTAAAAGAAAACAAGGGAATGTCCCACAAATACTTTTTTTCTGAATTCTATGAATTTTCTTCTTTAAAAGTTGTGAATGTTAAAAGGGATAAACAAAACAAAAAAGAATTCTGATCTAGACTGGATTCAGTTTGATTAGAATTTTAAAAAATAAAACTTATTTTACTAGTACATGTGTCTTTTAGATCATACTTGGAACAACAAATATGAAGAATTCAGAGAAATGTGGGAAGGCTTATACAAAGTGAAGAAAAACCAAGCAAACAACACACTCGGCATTTTTAATATAAAATAAATGCTCAGGCAATAAACTCAGGGCAAATACAACAGATAATATTAGTAGCAAAGTATTAAAATTGAAGAACAAAGCATAAACTACAAAAGTGGAAAGTGATATGTTCTATCAGTCCCAACCACTCCTTGAAGAAGTTTTGATTAACTGTTTTTATGTAAATATCTTTTGCTGACAGGGAAGGTTGGTTGAATTTTCATAGAATCATAGACAGAGATGAAAAGGCTCATCTGGTTCAATCCTCTCATTTTGCAGATTTGGAAACTGAGGCCCAGAGTGATTAAGCAACTTGCACACTAGTAGTGAATGCCAGAGGCAGGATTTTTATTGGGAAATGCCTAGTTAAAATAAAATGTATTGATAGTTTCGTTTGTAACCAAGAGGACGTAGAGTAGCACGCAAAAAGAATAAGGAAAAAACACGTTTCAATATTGTCTATTACTCTGAGATCTTTAAATTTAAGGATCAAGTGAACTTATCATGAAACCTACTATTTTCATTTTACAAATGAGGAACTTGAACTAGCTCAAGTTCATACTGATTAGTTAATGGTGGAATCACGATTTGAACCTAGGTTCTATGGCTCAACATCCAATGCTCTAACTTATCATACTGCCTCCTACTATTCAAATTTTATTTAAAATGCCAGAGTAGACAGAGAGCTTGAAACACACCAAGAAAGGTTTTGACTTCTGGAACAACAGAATGCTGGAGTTAAAAGGGACAACAGAGTCACACTTTTCAGCTTAAAGACAAATAGGTACATGAGTTTTTTGAGATAATAAAGCAAGTTCACAGTAAGATTGCAACCATGACTTGGGTATCACAAATCCTGGAAAATATCTGGAAATTTTTGGGGGAGTGTAAAGGTATGTCTATCTTGAGATACCTAAGAGGCATCAATTTCTTTGAATTCAACATGATTATTTCAAATTATTCACTTTAGCCTAAGAAATTACACAGTGCACTCTCCCTAAATTCCCTTTTTACCTCTGCCCATTCGTAGGAGCCAATGTTGCCAAATGTTGTTCCTCCCCATGAGCAAAGGATAATTGTCCGATCGGGTCGCCAGCCTCTTTTCACTTTTAACATCAAGGCCTGGATAAACGCTGTAATGATGGCAGTTCCACTGGCCCATTCTTGTCCACTGTAACCATAAGGGCTGTGATGGTGGCTACCCACAATGATATACCGGTCTGGGGAAGAAACATTTTTACAATTAAACCTTAAGAATAAATTCATTGGCAGTTTATACTCTATTGGACAGAATAGCAATAACTGAATTGATGTTTTACCCCTTGTATCTTTTTGTCCATTCTCCTGGTCTGCATCAATCAGTGTATATACAGCTGCAGGTAGGATATCTCAGTGATATAGCCAGGATTAGGAGATAACACACTGTCCTTTGAAACATTCATTAATCAAACACACAAACATGTGGCAGTGAAAACCTTTGTGTAACATTTTCTAGAAGTGTCATGGGAGGTGGCCTATAAACAGCCTCTGTGTGTTCATAAAATATTAATTAACTGTTGCCTGATGGGTCATCTTTTTATGGAGATTTGGAAACATGGTCAGTGTAATAAAAAATATCAAATAAAAATGGATTGTCTTATAAATTTCTTTCTCTCCTCAGGGTTAATTGATTTTTGTAATGTGGCTTCACTATGTTTCTCCTCTTTTTGCTAAATGGGGAGAAGTAGACGTTCAACTGAGGAATTTTAAAACCATTTTTTTTTTGATTCACAACAGAATATACTTAGCATGTATTAGAGAGGGTATACCTAGGGTGGGATTTCAAATCCCACCTTTACCTGACAGTGGACAAGTCATCTGATCCCTAACTTATGACTGAAAGATAACTTGCAATTTGCCATGGGGGAAGGGCTGTTCCCACACCGAAAAGTCACATACATACCTTTGATATCTTGAGTTTACTTCAAACAACTTTCCAAAATTTGTCTGGCACATTTCTATCTAACTCATTTGACAGGTCTTCATAGGTCATGATTACATTGTTTACTTACATTGCTGACCACAGTCCTAGATTTAGAAGGCGCAAATAAAACTAGTGTGGCTAGCTGACTTTCACTGTTATTGATTACTATTGATTCTAAATCTAGCGCAGTATTTATTCGACCAAGTGACCCTCAACTACCCCATGAGAAAGAACTTTCTCAGAGATTCATAAACTCTTCTGCTAATTCATAAGGTCATAGATATAAAGCTAGAAAAGACTTCAGAAGCCGTCTAGTTTATTCTGTTATTCTACAGATGAAGAAACTGAGGTCCACAGAGGTGAACTGATTTACTCAGGATCATACAGTTAGTAAGTGGAAGAGTTGAGATGTAAATTGAGGAAATATGATGACTCTAGTTCTCTTACCATTATGCAAGGGTTCTTAAACTGAGGTCTGTGAACTTCTATTTTTAATATTCTGATTACTACTTCAATATATTTGCATTCCTGCCTTACTTATATTCCTTTGTAATCTTACACTTTTTTTTTACATTTTAAAACATTATTCTTAAGTCCTTTTATCTCTCTAGACTTGTTTCTTCATCTATAGGATGATCATGAATTATCACTGATAATTTTTAATCCATTAAATTGTGAGCTCCTCGAGTATAGGAACTATCTTTTGCCTTTTTTTTTTTTTGGTATCCCAAGCACTTAGCAAGGTGACTGGCACATAGTAGGCACTTAATAAATGTTTATTGACTCACTGACTGAATAGATAGCTTCTGAGGTCACTTCTGGCTCTCCAACTATGCATTGGATGCATAGATGTTATAAAACTCTAGTGATGTGATTAAGGAAATTCAGTTGACACATTTTGGCTTAAGTATCATTTTCTATGGATTTCTTGGTGGGAGAGGAGGCAAAGTATTGTCAAGTGTAGAGATGGGCACTGATATTACACTAACAAATGGATTTTCCTTGGCCAGCTTTCTATAAGGTTCAAGCCTACAGCTATAAACCTTGGATTAGTAAATGGCATTGAAGGGCTTAATGTTTTATTTTATCTTCCAGATGTGCTCTAAATTTATGAGTTAAGGTTGTGCTTAGTTTTGGTAAGCTATATATCAAAAAGTGTTGTGATATAACTTTGTGACTTGCTTTTATATTCAAAGTCACCTCGTTAGGACATTACTAGAATGGGTACAGAGACTGGTTATGTTAGAATTTTAACGAAGAAAAAGAATGAAGTTATATGCCTTGCATAGTATTGGTTATAATGTTGATTTAGATCAATTTTATTTTAGATTTTTTAAAAGATTGAACTTGAATAGAAAAAAAAAACTCTTTCTTTTCTTCTCCCAAATGAGGATAATTTTCTCCTCTGATTTTCCAATAGAACTGACAAATACCGTAAGGATGATAAATAGTCCTAAGGCTTCAGCTAGCGATCCTTCTGATGGAAAATCATTTTATTGAAATAGCTCAAATTCAATAGTTAAAATTACAAGGACCATTTGTTCCTTATGTTTAAGATTGTTGATTCATTAAGGAGGTGTTCAAGCTTCTTAAATGTACGTAAATTTCAGAAAGCCCATTACTACCTCTGAGCTTAGTGAATCTCCTAGAATGATACCACTGGACTGTCTAAAACTCAGAAGCCTTCATTCTTCTAGATTAGGAACCTGGGGACCAACTCTACTGGCTTCAGATGAGGTGAGTTATTCTCCACTATTAACCTGAGTAAGATCCTAACCAACCTAACCAACATAGAATAGACAATAAAAATATTTAAACTAAATTGTCAACTACACCACACAGAAAGGATACAAAAATAGTTATAAATGATTCTGCCTCACAGTATATTGTGGAATAAGTATTCTTTATATCTTATCATACTAATATCTGGCACTTATACATATAATTTTGCAAAGTATGCAACATTAATGTATTTGAGCTTTATGGTAACCCTATAAAATATGAGTATTATTATCTTCCTTTTTTGCTTGTTTTCTGATTACTTTGTTTTTACTTTTTGATTCTTAATGTGCATATTCTCAAACATTCATTTAAATACTTATAAACCATCTACTTCATGCAGAACTGTGTGATGGGGTATTAGGAGAATATGGAGATTAAAAATGACCTAGTCATTATTTACCCTCAAGAAGCATGTACTCTATTGGACAGTCCAAATTCCAGTCAACACGGACAGTCTTCCATAGATATTATTAAAACTAATGTCTTTTAAGTGTACAATGACAAGCTCATTAAAATTATCATGGTAAAGAGCCATCAATCCATAGAACAAACAAAAAAGGAAATATTAAATTTTAAAATCACCTGATTCCAATCATTTCTAAGTTGAGTTATTAAATTATAGCATATATAGGATTTACAATTATTCCATGTTGCTCTATAAGAATTTCAGTTCATCATTGTTTACTTCTACTTACCAGGAAATGAAGCTCCTTTGAGATAAGCAACAACATTGGTGAGCGTCTTATATTCAGTGACTGTCTGAACTTTCATTGTGACGATTCTGATTTCTACAAGGGAAGATGAATCAAAGGATAATTTTAATACAATTTTCCTACTTTTCCTTCCATTTGCTCTATTTGAATGCTTTTCTTTGCTCAAAACATGAATGTGCAATAATATCATTTAGCCAAGTTCGGCAAGGAAGGTGGCATGCCACATAATTTAATTTTTCAAGCAACTTTAACCACTTATTTTAACAATACTTTCTTAAATATATATGTACACACACATATAAAATATCCATATACCCCATTAAAAATTACAAAGAACTCAAGTCAAACACAAACACAATGATTAATCAGTTTTGGTTCCAGATGACTAATGTTGGAACAAACTTCCTTCCTTTCAGTGGAGAGGTGATGGGCCACTTTTGCAGACTATTATTAGACTGTTATCAGTCATCATTGCTGGATCATAGTTTGATTGAATTGTTTGTTTGTTTGTTTTGTATTTAGAAGAGACTACCAAGAAGAAGAGAAAAGAGTGATCACTAGAAAGGAAGTTATGATGTAAAAAAAATGTATTAATACAAGTATATTATATGTTTTTGTTACTTAAAATGGAGCACATTAAATCCTTTAAGAGACAGCAAGTTGTAGTAGGCAGAGATCCTGCTTCAGAGTCAGGAAGGCCTGGGTTAAACTCTAGGCCAAGGCCTTAACCTCTCAGTGCTTAGACACTTCATATCTCCTTTTTCTGTCTTTCCTGTCTCCCTCATCTTGAGGCAATCAATCACTCGTTGCCTTTCCCTATAAGTACCTCCTTCCCTGCCAAACAAATTTGTGGCATCTAATCTGACACAGAGTGAGAAATAAGATAAAGGTACTCATTAAACTGTGTATAAAAATGTAAGGACAAGAAGAGCAGATGAGCTCTAAATGAGGGTCTGAGCGGCTCTTCTCTGGGTGACATGAACAAGCTTTAGGTCATGGCCTTTGATAGATCTATTTTAGTTCCTCAGAAATCTCTCCCCCTCTCTCTGATTTACATTGTATGTTTTGTAGCTTTTTCTCCTCACTTTGGAGAGGCCCTAGATGAAAGGATAAAACCAGGAAACTTTCGGAAGCAGTTTATAATACTAAAAATATGTTTATATGCATGGTATATTCATTCCAGGTAGCATCTCCCAAGCCCATATTTTTCAAATGTTAATAGTGGCAAGATTTAATGACAGTTTTGGATGTGAAGTATGACTTCAAGCCTCCAAAATCTGTTCTTTTCCAGAGAACTCTTGTACTTGGGTGGGCTGAGGGGGTGTCAAAGTCAAAAGGTGTGAAATCAGATATCGATTTCTGCTCCTATGCTTCAGCCACAGAAAAAAAAAAAAAAAAAAAAAAAAAAGGTGTGGGACTATATGGCAGGAACAAGTCTTATTGTGTTTCTGATTCTTATATGTGCCAAGGTCTTTGGAAGCTCTCCTTTCTCCAGATGCTCTATTCATGCCCAAATCAGAATCAGGTTAATAGAAAGTCACTTTAATGTCAGAGCAGAAAGAAACCAGCAAACCCGACTACCAAAACAGATTGAGAGCTGGGCCATGGATGGAATCTATTTGCTCGGCTAGCTCTGTCAAACTCTGGAGGCAACAAGAGAGCACAAAGGAAAAATTAAATTGAAATATGAGAGTTCAAATAATATGGCTTTTTGGAAACCAACTATAAGTCACAGAACATGAGAGTCTGTGAAGAATTAAAAATGAAAACCACTCAGAAGGCAATATGGAGGAGGGTAAGGGATGTGAGCAGCCAGTGAAGAAGATAAAAGAGAACCAGGGTAAGAGATATGATCAAAGAAATGGAAGAATGAAAAAGATGAGCTGGTCATGTGGTGAAGGACAAGTGGGGGACAGGCTGTGTGTGCCACTGGTATCCTAATGATGCCAAGAGAGCAAGGAAGCCCACCTTCTGAAAGATAAGGATTTCCTTCTAACAGAGAAAAAATAGTACAGAAAAAAACCAAGTTATTCAGGAAGGAAGTACAAGAACAAATATATACTACTTGACAGGTAGATATGTGGCCAGTGGGTAGAGTTCAGGACCTAGAGTCAGAAAGACCTGAGTTCAAATCCAGACTCAGACATTTACTAGCTGTGTGATCCTGAAGTAGTCACTTAACATCTTTCTATCTCAGTTTCTTCAACTGTAAAATGAGGATAATAATAGAGCCTAACTCCCAGGAGTGCTATGAGGATCAAATGAAATAATATTTGTGAAGCAATTAGGACAAAGTCTGGCACATAGAAGGCTCTCAATAGATATTTGTTCCCTTCTCCCAGTTTCCCCTCTGTTTGGCATCTAAAATTTATCACAACCTGGCTCCTTCCTACCTTTCCAATATTCTCTTATAGTACCTCTTCTCTCCCACTTCCCTGCCCTCCAATATACACTACAGCCCAGCAATAGGAGGCGTGCTGTTTCGCACCAAAGATGCTGGTCTTTTCACTGACTGTCTCCCATGCCTGGAAAACCCAACACCCGGAAACTCCCAACACCTGGAAAACACCAACTCCCCACCTCTTGTAATTCCTAGTTCCTTCAAGACTCAAATTAAATATTTCCTTCTACACAAAGCCTTTCCTGATCCCCTCAAAGGTGCTAAAACCATTGTGTCTGCCCTGCAAAACTACCGTGTATTCGTTTTGAATGTATTCTGAATACACCTACACATGTGTATGTATCTGTACATAAACATATGGAAATGTTATGTCCTGTGTTAGAAGAGTGGGAAGTCATCACCTGACATCTTTCTGGCAAAATGGGGATCAACTAGGCCTTAGCATGCATCCCACTAATGCTCCCTAGGATCCACCAGTCTTTAACATTGGTCCTTCTGCTATGTTCTTTGGACACCACGTACATTGCCATCTGACTTACGGTTATACCCTAAGGACTCTTGGTCTTTATCATTGGATTGGTGTGCAAATGTAGTAATGACCAGCAGGCCTTTCCATCTGCCTGTAACTGAACCCTTCAATACATATCTCTCCCCAATAACAGTATGAAACTTCAGCTTGCCTTGCTTTTATTTTTTAACATCGTATTTATATCTCCATGCTAGCACAGTGCTTGGTATACAGTAAATACTTAAAATACGCTTTTCCATTCAATCCCCTTCCATTCCACTAATAGATACTTGATGAATTGGAAAAAAAGCAAAGAAAACAAAACTAAAGTCACTGAATCTTGCCTCCTTCCCCACAAACAGTCTATGGCTTGAGAACTAATAACAATAATGGACATTTTAGAGCACTTTTTAGGTTGCAAAGCACTCTCCATGTATTGTCTCCTCTGGATCTCTCAATTAGCTCAGTGAGATAGGTACAACATTTTCATTTTTATTTTAGAGATGAAGAAATCATGGGTCAGAGAGCTGGCTCAGTTCATGCAGGTAGTTAATAGCAGAGACAGGATTCAAACCCACGTCTTCAAACTCCACTCCATCCCATGGCTTCCCGGAACTTCTCAAAATCAAACTAGAATTCAATTGAACAAGCTCAAAGGCAATTGAGATGCTTGATCAACTTTGACCTCCTAATCTCTGGGTGATATCAAATAACAGCAATGTATTTGGAAGTGACAGCCCTTTGTATCTGATGAGTCTGGACAGAAGTACAGGGCTTCTGTTTAAAATGTCTCAAATGAAGGATTTCAGTTTAAGTGACAGAAAGACTCAGAGGTTTCTTCAATCAGGTATACAAAAAGCAAAACAATTTCTTTTAAAGACTTGTGACAACACAAATCTCACTTCCCAATGCCATCCCTCTGAGGAAAAATCTCAACTGTCCTGAGAACTTTCTCTCCAGTCCTGATCTTTTCAAAAGCTATGAAAAGAAATATTTCATGAGCTACGTCCTATGACTGCTGTTTCTGAAGTACAACAACAGCAAAGGTTTAAGGGAGGAAATCTCATTTAACTGAAGACATTTTCTTTAAGAAAAATGCCCTGGGCTCTCTAATACTGTGCAGTACATTGAGTTAATTGTTATAACACTTCCCTGCATATATCTTTAAACTGGAAAGAATGAAAAGTGCTCAAATTCAGCTACAAAGAAACAAGCAAGGGCAATTAATAACACAATATTATGAAGATAAATGCATTAAGATATGACAAAACAAATATGCTTTTAAAGAGTAATTTAAAGTCTGGGTTGAACACTACATTTCAGTTTCTAAATAATTCACTGGGGAATTCTGCAGTGAAGAAAATAATGCCATTTCTACTTTCTTCTCTCTTAAGATACTTAACACATAAAGTACTTTAAAGATATTCTCATTTGAGCCTCTAAATTATGTTAAGTAAATTACACACATTGATCCCATTTTACATGTGAGAAAACTGAGGCTTAGTGAGCTGGTCATGGTCATAGAGCTATTAGAAGTGAGAGGCAGGAAGTGAAATCAGATTCTATTGACTGCAATAAAAAAGAATAAAAGCTAACATTGATATAGTGCTTTCTGGTTAACAAGTTGCTTCACATTCATCACGCCATGTGAGCCTCACAATAACCCTATAAAATAGATGAGGAAACTGAAGTTCAGAGATGCTACATAACTTAGTTTTGTTCATATGCCACAGCTAATAAGGATTACAGCCATGTTGGAACCCAGGTTTTCTTGCCTCCGAGATATAGACTCTTTCTTCTATATCCCTCTCATCACTTTTAATCATAACATTGAACTTCCTTGGAGATATGGGGAATATTTTTTAAAATAAATAAAAACAAACAAGTAACAAAAAAAGCAACAACCGATCCTTAGGAACAATTTAAAAATGACCTGTCAAAAGGGAAGACACCTCGCAAAGCTGTCCCATGTCCCTGAGGTGACTTTGAGGTCTCAGAAGTGACATTAGTGAAGCCCCAATTGACTGATGGTTCCGAGCTCCAGAGGCTTCCAGGCTAACCCCAGCAGTGGATTGGAGCCCTAGGCTGGCTAAGTTTAAGGAAGCCCACTACAGTGACTGCAGAAGGAAGATTTCTCTTTTCTGCTATAGCAGCTTGTGAAAGTCA